GATGTGACGAGCAGCTGACAACGGTTCCACTCATAGAGGCCGGCGATGGTTAGGGGCCGCTCCGCATTATGGGTTCTTTTAATAATAGTTTTCAATTTTTTTTTTATTTGTTAAAAATTAAATATTATTAATTTATTTAATTATTTGAGCCTTATAAATTGATGCGGGATATGACGTTTAATTTAGATATTTATTATATATGTTGAAATTATAAACTTTAATAAATTTTGTTTTGTATTCATCTATAAATATTAAGAGATAAAGATAGTTAGGATTATGTAACTTAAAATCATTTGATCATCTAAAATTGAATCAAGTTTAATTCAATTGAATTTGATTCAAAAACAATAATTTGATCAATTTGATTTTGAATTTGTACAATTAAAATTATTCGATTAAACTCTTTTCAACTGAATGATTTTTCCTGCTCAGTAATGATGGCAGTCTTATATGCTCATGTTGTAAAGCCTAAATTGTTTTATAATCAGTTATACATGTTACTTAAGATAATGATGGTGAGATCTATGTAAACTTAAATTCTTTTGAAAAACTAAATTTGAATCAGATGATCAAAGCTAAGTTTGATTCAATTAAATTTGATTTTTTAAAAAAAAATTTGATTTTGAGTTTTTTAATTAGGATTAGTTTATACAACTCATTTGAAAAATAAATCATTCAAATCAACTAAGTGCTCTTGCGAAAATGTTAAAAATAGTATTTTTATAAATTTATTATTTTAAAAAAATGATGAAGATATAAAATATTTTAAATAGATAAAATCAGACATGTCGGTTGACGATTTTGCCACGTCAGGTAAAAAATTGTCCGTTGACTTCACAACTTGTTTCACCACGTTAGCAAGCAAAAATCATCTGCTAAAGTAAAAATTTTATTATTATTATTATTATTTTGAAAAAAAACTATATGTTATTAATAAGATAATATAAACTTAAAACATTAAGAACATTTAGCTTGGTTAGTAGAGTAAGGTTTTTAACTTTGAGGTCAAGAGCTCAATCCTCATCATAATTTTTAATTGGAGATAAAGTATTTCTTTAATTACTCTTTTAAATTATTTAATTTAACAAATAAATAAAATTATATAAAATTTAATAAATATTATAATCTTAATTTAAAATATTAATTTGAAAATATCATTATTGCATCAGCATAATATCATTATTACATTTTTTAAATTATTATTAAAATATTTTTGAAATGAGACTATAAAATTTATTAAATTTTATATAATTTTATTTATTTGTTAAATTTAATGATTTAAAAGAATAATTAAACAAATACTATACTTTCAAATTAAAATTATCATGGGGATTAAACCCATGACTGCAAAGTTAAAAACCATACACTCTACCAACCAAGCTCAATGTACCTAATATTTTAATTTAAAATATAATATTATTAACATATAATTTTTCTCAATAAATTTTTTTTAATAATAAAATCATCATATCAATAGGTGATTTTGTGTGCTGACATGTGAAGAAAAATCACTACTTCATCGGGTTCATGTGGCAAAATCACTTGTTGATGTCGCGATTTTGTAAAGTAAAATAATAATTTTATAAAAATGTTATTTTTAAAATTTTGTCAATACTTTTCCCCGGGAAAAAAAATGTTACATCAGGACTCCTCGCGTACACAATGAAATTACGCCGTGGAGGTGATCGATCCGGTAACACTAGGGAATATTCCTCTCGTGTTATTCATGTGTTATCTATTATTGATGTGTTATTATAATACCGAGAATATTCTCAGAACACAATAACACCTGAATAACACACAATAACACCTGAATAACACGAGGGAATATTCCCTCGTGTTACGGGGCCGATCACCTCCACGGCATAATTTCATTGGATTCTGCACGTAGCTCTACGCGCGGAGTGCTTATGTAATATTTTTTCTTTCCCCGGTCTCTCACACACACAATCGATTGGTTATGTGGTTAGAGTAACAAAGAGAATTTCATTGCGTCAAACGGAGAAGCGAGGATTATTAATTCATTTCCTCTTGTAAAAAGAAAAAAAAAATGAAGTTGAGACACACACATCTAAGAAGCTAGATGTGTCTAAAATAACCGGTAAATAGATATTGGCTAGTAAATGAGCTTATGTATTATCCAAAAAAGTCGTATCAAACTTTGATAAATTTGGGCAGTCAAATTGGTTCTTAATTGACATGAAAATATCCCTAATTCGTATCATTTTATCTTAAATATTTGTTAATAGAGCCGACATGTTCTCTGGCCATACTTTCTCTTCAAGTTTGGTTATGTGGTTAGAGTAGCATAGAGAATTTCATTGTGCTAAATTGAGAGGTGAGGATTATTAATTCACTCCCACTTTCTAATAAAGAAATATATAAAAAAGTAGAGGAGATGATGAAAAGAAAAAAAAAAATGGTAAATGAAGTTGATCATGGAACTCTATTGTCTTCTTCAGATGTCGTTCATATTTTTTTGTTGTTACCATGATCAATAGCACCATTGTCTTGCACAATGTGTCACCAATTACTGTTATGAGCCTCTGTTGTAATATTTTCTTAATAATACTTGGCTTTTAAAGAAAATCTTCAAATAATGAAATAAAATAAAATAAAATAAAATGATGATAATAATAATAATAAATTTATCAATCTCTTTTTTAAGTTAGTGTGCCACACTACTCAAGTGTGGTAACTATTTTACCAGGGATAGGGAGTTGAACAGTGAGA